CCGTACTGGCGATCACAGATCAGCCGGTGCTCTTCTTACCGGAGCAGTTGACGGTTAATGATGGATTCCATAACCTTCGAGAATAAGGAAGTGATAGCTATGGGCCTATAGTTAGCTGGATCTGAGCGATCTCCCTTTTTAGGGATCGGATGCACCAGAGCAGTCTTCCAAAACTTTGGGACTATGCCCGACGAGTAGCTAAGCCGAAAAAGACGCGTAAGAACCGGAGCCAACTCTGGTGCGCACGTCCTAAGCACAATTGGAGGAATACCATCAGGCCCACTCGACTTATGGATTTCGAGGGAGAAAAGTGCTCTACGCACTGAGCTATGCGTGAATTTAATGTCAGGCATGCTCCTACAACACGTGATGGTCGGTGGTGGTTTCTCCCCGTCATCCAATGTCGAGTTTGACGCAAAGATGGATCCAAGAAGATCGGCCTTTTCTTTAGCGTTCTGGGCCAACGAGTCATCCTCCCTGCGCAAAGGTGGAAAAGATGACTTACAGAAATTCCCTTGTGCAGCTTTGGCAAGAGACCAGAAAGCTCGAGTCCCAGAGGGCAAACTAGCCAATCTCTTGCCAATTCTACTAATATGCTCTGACTTCGCTGTGGCTATAACTCTTTTGAAGGACCTAGAGGCAGAGTTATACTTCTTTTAAGAGCACTGGTGTTAGGATCTCGCGACGCCACACCTTTAGCCCAGGTTAGGAAGCACTCCTGTTTCAGACGAGATGCTGTTCTACAGGAGGCTCCATACCAGGGCTGGGATTTCCCGCCGACGGGCACCACAGAGTTAGGAATAAATAATTCCATTCCCTGAAGCACCACATCAGCAATGGAATCGGCAATGGCGTCGGGATCATCCAGTGTGAAGCAAACCTGCCTCCATGGGTAAGATGCGAAAAAAATCCGCATCTCATCCCAATCTGCCGACCTGTAATGCCAAATGCGACGTCTACCCGTAGAACGAGGTGGAGTCGGACTCGTAAGAGGCACTTCGCTCCGCACCAAACAGTGATCCGACGATCCAAGCGGGGCTTCGACGGAGATCACATAGTTGTCTGGGTGGGTGGTCAGCAGAAGGTCCAGCAGTGAAGGTGAATGGTCCAACACATCAGGGATTCGCGTAGGCGAGGAAACAAGCTGTGTCAGACCATAAGCCAAAGCAAAGTCATGAACAGATCTTCCCGCATAGTCGGTTGTACGCGAACCAAGCCATTCGGCATGGTGGGCATTAAAGTCGCCAACAATCACGACTTCAGCGGAAGGAATCTGCTCAAGCAGGGAATCTGTAGCCATTTGGACGTGCTCAATAAGTTGGTCGGTTTCAGTGTTACCGCTGTGGGACCTGTATAGGCACGCATAGATGCGGGGATGGTCATTGCAATCTACGCGCAGCCATAGAATGGACAGGTCCGTACCTTCAAGAGTCCCAAGGCGTCGACAGCAGTATCCTCTCTGACATACGCACATACACCGGCACGCGAAACAAAACAATGTTCAAGCTTATACCCCGGGTAGGTCAGGTATGATGTTTCGTTAGGAGGGGATATCTGTGTCTCCGTGAGGAAGAGCAATGCCGGCCGCGCCGTTTCTAGGTGGTGGTGGACAGCGTTCAGGTTTGAATGAATTCCCCTAATATTACAGAGGCTCACATTGAGCAAAGGGGATGCCGCAGAAGTCTTGCTCTGTTTGCCCTTGGTCCCATAGAGCGGAATTTTGCCCCCCCCAGAATACGCAGGGCAGCCCGAGCGTGGTTGCTCGAGGGAGGATTCTCCAGCAACATGGCTGCTGGTACCTCCCTGGGGTACGTTATTTTTTTTTTAAATTCCACTGCCATGGTATTGAAAGATGGGGGGACGGAGTTGGGGGAGGATTTTAGGATAAGGAAGGGGATGGGTATAGGATGGGCCTCCGGACTCCCTCACTCACCATACGGAATGTGGTCGCACTAAAAGTGCGGCCACTTAGCGTCGGTATTCTGCGTGTGTATTGTTTTCTCACTGTAATATTTTCTGTGTAATTGTTTGTATTTATGATAAGTTTACTATTGTAATCTTATGGAGGAAACAATAAAGAGTAAGTACTCTTTATTGTTTCCTCCATAAGATTACAATAGTAAACTTATACGTAGTAGATAAGTATCTATCTATGGAATTTGGTATAAACATACTATCTTTATGGGATGGAGAAGTATGTAGCTTACTTTTTATCCCAGTCAGTGAATATATCCAGGGCACGCGGACGAAGTAGCGGGAAAAAACATAACTAATAAATAATAAAATTCTAACATGACGATATTTGTTGTTTATATAAAGATATGGGATATTTAAGAAAGACTGATATATGAGATATTAATACGAGCATTAGAAACTCAAAACATTATTTTTTTGAATTTTTGTTTATCTGTATACATAAAATATATTCTTATTAGTTAATCTATTATTATTAGTTCCCGCATCTTGCAAATACTACTTCCTAAGCGTTGAACATAAAATTTTTAGTATGTTTTATTATTGCATTCCATAATATATGCTTATGATATTGCAGTCAAAAGATTGTAGAAAATAAAATAATAAAATGTTTTAATAATTGTAAAAAAATTAAATAAAATTTAATTCTTGATTTTGCCCTCAGAAGGAAAAATCAAAAGGAACAATATTTAAAAAAAATAAAACTTTGTCATTATAGAGAATGGTAACACTGTTACTTGAAATTATTTCAAATAGTATATTACCCTTAAACTATTTTCATCTAATTATTTATTTATTTATATAAGTTTTATTATACATTTATATTTGAAACAAATGTCATGTAAAAAAAGAATATGAATATATGAGACAGTCTGCATAAAGTACTAAACAAAAAAAAATAGATAGTTATTACAATAGCATGATACAAATACAAAAGACTCTTTAAATGCCAAATTTTCACTTTAGAAAAAAAGAAAGAAAGAAAGAAATAATTTAATCAAAGAAGCATGTGGCCCTTTAAGTTAAAATAACTTTAATAATATTTTTATAATAAAGTTTAAATATTTTTATAATAAATTTAAAGCTTTTACAGATTAAACTTTTTAATGGTTCACAAATAACACCATTCTGAAAGCAGCAGTGAAGTTCAAAATTGAAAAAAATTACCCTTTAAAAATATTCACAAATATGTTTGTTTATATAAATATTTTTTTTAAAAGTCAAAATGCCAATGTCAATATAAATAATCGAAGCAGTTAGAAGAAGAAACTGCTGGTTAAAAAGAAGTAGGTGGATAATGACTTTGTATTATACTATTTAGAGGTATGGATGTACTGACAAAGTAAAAAAAAAAAACAGAGTAAAGTAACAAATAAGTATGACTATTACAATTCTTACTATGGGAATTAAGTTACACATATTCTGACTACCTAGCTTTATAATATGATTAGATATTTTTGTAATAAACTTTTGATAAGGATAATCTTTTTGTTATCTACTTGTAGTATTAAATTATTGATTCGATTTTATAAATAACTCCTTGTCAAAAAATTAAAGACAATATTTTATATAGGGATCTTTGAAACTATACAAAATATGTCTCTTTCCTTTTCTCCCCTAACCAAAGGTTGTCTGGAAAAGATTGCTTTAGCGATAAGACCAGCTTTTGTACTTCATATGTGTAATATATTGTTTTATATTACACTTTAAGAAATGCAATAGAGTAAATAAATAAATAAAATATTTACTGATAACTAGCCGTTTCTCACTGCTTTCCTTACATGATAGTAATATAAAAAGATAAATGTATTAATGCAATATATGGTCCAACTTTTTACTGAATTTCTTTCATATCCTGTTAAAGCATGATTAAAATCTAAGTATAAAAACATTCAAATATCTTTATGAACTTTCACTTTCATAATATTAATAAAACATAAACTTTAGTTTTAGTTATGTATAATATAGTGTTACAGATAAACTTATAAAAAGGAATGAAAATTATTAATTTTGAAAAATCATACTGAGAGATGAGGAAGTTTTTATTACACCATAAAATAATAGAATTGTGCAACCAGAATGTACATAAGTAGAATATATATTATTAATATTTATACAAAATAAATAATAGGTATTTATTTTAAATCTAAGGACAATAGTTTTCTAGGTCTGAGAAGTGACTAGGTTAGAAGATACAATAAATTCAAATTATCAACAAATGTACTTACCTATTATATCGTATATACTTGCAGTGTAGTTATCAACAAAATATGAAATAAAACTCATTGTGGCAAACAGGTAGACTGGATATCACATTTATAAAATTACACTATCCTTTCACGTTTGTATACTTTTGGAATTAAGGTTTATTAAAATTAATTCATCACTTATTAATGTGCTAATTATTTATTATATTATGTAGAAATTATTATAGAATTACATTAGAAACCAATTAGAATATTTAACTATTTATCCAGCTGATTATATATGTATTTTGAATGAGCATTGATTAAAATAACTCACACAAACAAAAGGAAACTGCATGGACTAGTAGGGATGCCAAGTACAATAATGTTTAACAACATATAACGATATGTCACTACCCTCGATTTTAAGACAAAACGAATCATATTAAAATTGTTTATTTTCATCGTTTTGGCATTTTATTTGTTTATTATTTAATATTTTAAATATTATTAATATTGTTTGTCACATAATTATACTTTTTAAACGCGAAAGTTTAATAGTAATATTAAAACCAAGACGGATAGATTTAGTTCTTTTATATTACATAGTTTTTGGGGAATGTCATAATCACATTAAACGAAATATGTCTATAATATTATAATATAATGGAAATATATTGTTATATCGATATTCAATTATTTCTGTGTGCATCTCTAGACTGCCTGAATAGCACAGATTACAGATAATCCCTTATCAGCTGTCATTCACGGCCGTCAGTCAAGTGTCTGTTCGCATAGAGATTGAGATTTGAACTGACAGAACTGACACAATTCTATAATTTCTTTAAATTCACAATCACACTGCTTTAATCTGTGATTCATACTAAATAGTGTATTTTTTTTTTCTAGATCTTTAAATGTTATTAAATTCAAATCTTTAGACTGAAAACATGAATTGATACTTCATATGTGTTTTTCTAAAATGAATGATAAAATATACGAAAACATGTTACTTAGACGTAGATTTTGTAAACGCGTTATTTTTATGGTTGCGGCGTTTGGATTGTCTTTTTATGCTTCTATTCTATTGTTTGGCGATCTTAAAACCCCGAGAGTGATGCATTTAACCGATTTGAATAGATGTCCAGCTTGCTACGGCATATCTGTGTGTCCTGAATTATACTCGAATCAAATTATTCTAGAATCTAGTTCTAATTGGATGGGAATTTTTAATGCGAAGAATATTTATTATGGTTATACAAAATCCAATCGGCGGGTTGTTTTAAAGAAATTGGCACACGACTGGGAACTTAAAGAGTTTGATTCGAAGATTTGCAAGACATGGCGTTTGAAACGCAACTGTAAACCGATTAATTTACTCAATGTTTCTAACATGGATGACAAGATTATAGATATTGTTAAGTACAATCTCAGTTTCCCGGATACAGAGCCGCGGAAGGGTCTGGTTTTATGTCCGTATGCCTACAGTATTTATGATCTGGCACAACCTGTCTTGAATAGTAAAAGGTCTAATTATAAATCTGATGTGATAAATCTTTGGACTATGTTGAGTATTAATCCAGAGCCGATTATTTTGCAAGTATGTTATATCATTACATTAATATTAACTAATGATTGTGTTTTAGTTCTAAAAACATGAGGTACTTAATACTTTATTATTAAAAAAATTGGAAATTTGTTTAATAAGAATTTCATTCCACTCACCATTCCCAAGGAGAAAATCCTATTGATTGTAAAAATAATTATAAAAATGATTTTAAATATTATTTTGGTACTGTAAATCTTATTTTTATATGTGCCTACAAAAGAGTGTAGGGAAGTAAGTAAACCTTATTTTTTTTTAAATAAAACTTAATATAAAATATTGTTATAATATTTCAGGTAATACCAAAATCTCATGGTTGGCCTGTACCAGCATATGGTGGTGTATGCGGACGGATCGAAGTGGTGGCATTTGAAGGAGAATCCCTCTCATCATTACTGCATGTGGCTTGGTATCGCAAATTAAAATATGCCAAGAAAATACTAGATGCTGCTATGGATTTTACTTTTAAACATGATAGGTAAGTTTCTTCAACTGTGACAACCCTATTCACTTAAACAAAACACCATGTTTTGATGGGAAAAATCTTATTTACATCATCATCTTCATAATTTTTATATGATTTCCTTTTCCATTCTTATCTATTCCTAGTCATTTTTGTATCCACTTCTATACTGACCATATCATCATTCTTACAGTTCAATATATCTATGTGACTTTAGGTCTTCCTCTGCCCTTATAGCCATCTACATTCATAGTTAATAGCTTTTTTAAAATATGCTTCTTATCTCAGCACAGAACATGTACATCTCAATCAGAATTAATAAATTTCTGTAGCTTTTTATTTAGCTGTTTATTTTTATAATTCAAACTCTACCAAGCAGTCTGTTTATTATAGTAATAATGGGCTAAGAGATCCCTGCTCAATAGTAATACTGTTGCATTCACTTGCTAGATCATGAACATGTAACTTGTAGAAATTTTTGTTACTTCATATAAATATTAATATGAATATAATAATGAATAAAATTAATTTCGTCTCTATCTTCATTGCAGATTCCGGTTCTACTTCATGGACTGGTCACTAGACAATATAGTGGCCAATGAAAGAGATGAAATCACTTTTATTGATTTGGAAGATGTCATTGTCCTTGACAAGCATATTTCACCACGTAACGATCTCCCAGACTGGTACCGTCGTTACTCGCGAGAGAATATTGGGTCTGGCTTCACATTTTCAATAGAAAACATGTGCAAACACCATCTGAGTGATCATAATCTATGGGCGGCATGTTATTTACTGGTAGGCGATGAGAGCCCATTGCTATACCCTATACCCAAAGAAGTTAATTCATCCAGACCACATTTTTATCGCTTGCTCACTGAGTGTTTGAATGGGGATGATAGATTTCGAACAGTTACAAGACTCCAGCATGTCATTTCAGATATGCTAATGGATGAGAAAATTGTAGGGTTTGGTGTTATTAGATGATAGTTTTTTTTACTATGGTAAGTACATGCTTACCTGTAATTTTGTGTTCCATTTAAAAATAAGTTTCTATATTGTGATATTTTATAGTAGGTATTGTTAAACTTTATAAGTTTTTCTTCATCTGGAATAATAATGAGCAATGAGCATATTTTTACTTTGTTCAAAACAATCTTAAATATCTGGCTGGAGAAAATTATCGTATGGAATTGTCATGTTTGTATAATTATTTTATCAAACATATTTTAATTTGTTGCTTAGGGCACCACAATAAAAAAATATCTTTTTTAAAATGTGTTACTTATTCATCGTGTTATAAATCCTATTTACGGTCCAAACATATTTAATTCAAATTTTTTTTGCCTTAGAAAAGTAATTTATTTTCAAATTGACCGAGTGATCTGATTTCCATTTGCATTCTGGGGTGAGCACAGCCTATCCGATCTCGCCTTAAATATACTTATTCTCATCAAGTCAACTTTTACATAGTTCCCTCTGGAAACTATCATGATTATTGTTAGTGAAGAAGTATGATACAAAGTTTGTAGAGAAATTGAAAACTGATTATTATTCTCTGTCTAAAATGATGATTGTACATAGATTAAAAATAGTAGATATCTACGTACATAAATTTGACATTTGAATGTTGACAAATTATCTTTTTTAGCAGCTGTTCCAAACGGAACAAATGTCATTGACAATTTGATAGTGAAAAAAAAAAAAAAAAAAAAAAAAAAAAAAAATTTGATAGTGACAGTGACATATATTTTTCGGCACCATAGGTTTGATTTGCATTTGATATTTTGATGCTTTTAAGACAAGAAATATAATAAAATAAGTTAAACCGAATTGAAAATCGTTTTTACCACTGTTTACCGTAGAAACAAATGCGTAATAGTATAATTCTTTTATAAAAATAATTTAATAAGTAAAGTATAAAGAACTCTTGTACTGCCTCAATCTGAGGTCTCAACATATTTTGTGTAGACAGCAGTTTAACGAATATACTAAGCTAATATATTTACCAATATCGATTCATACTCCTATAAAAAATATCTGGTCAGTTGATACCTTAAGGGACTCATATTTATGATCATATTCTCCAAGCTTGAAAATAAATAAAGTTTAAAGATTCCTTAATAATGAGCGAATGTGATTCTGATGAAGATAATGTTATCCGGTATGGAACTCCACTGGATCCTTTCGAAGAAGGTGGGAAAAATATTACTGTTCAAATGTACATGTTGTAAAGAAATATTTTGGTAAATTCTTAAATGATGACTTTAACAGGCCCTTCTAAGGCTTCTTAAGGTCTCGTCTAGCTACTATACTAACCTTTGCAGGTCAAACAGTTGTGAAATATAAACGATAAATTCGCAAAGCAATAATAACTCAGATTCCCATTATTTGTTATTGAATTTAATATATTTTGTGTTAATTAATAAACTTGTAATTTGGTTAATGATCTTAAGAAATATTTAAAGATCAATATATTGTAGGTCTATTTTGAAAGTAATTTACTTTGATGGAAAAAAGAATTTGTGAAGGAATGTGCCCTGTATTTCTTAGTAGGTTTTATGTATCATATTGAATTCAATTCTTTAGTGCCAAGCACACCTTACACCTATATAATTTAAATTTGAATACAGCAGATATAAAAAATCATATAAAATTAAAGAAAAGATCTTCTAATTATAATCCCTAGTGACTACTAGGTACTTAGTACAAAGCAAAGTTGCTTTTAAACTATGCAATAGATTTTATTGTGATTTATATAAATAAATAGATTGATTTAAGTGAAATGTTTATATATTTATTTATTAATGTTGTTTTGTATTAGTTTGTTGAAATATGATAGTACCTGTTCAAGATGTCAGAAGAAATTCACCAGAGGGAGACTTTGTACAAAAGTCGATTGCTTGGGTACCTCTGTCCCATTCGTGTTTCAACTGTGAAGCAGCTGTGTTTGCACAGCTGTGTTTCGGTTAATATGGCGTGAATTTACTGGGTACAGAGGAATCACACCTGAGTCCTCAGGAATGGCAACGCATGGGGGGTATCATGGGCGAAACAGTATACTATGTGTATCTGTTATGTTCATGGTACTGCTCATGTCTATAGGCTGACGGTCCATCAGGTGGACCGTCAGCTTGTTTGCCATTCTAAGTTGTATAAAAAAAAAAGAAATCAAGTTGACTTACAGATTGCATAAAAATGCTGAAATAAAACAAAATATTGTATGAATGAACTGTTCCTCTTTATTAGGGATACAAAAAAGGCAGTTATAAAGATAGCTTTCTATAATCACTTTAATGTTTATTAAAAACTTATATAAATTATATAGAGTTTGTAAAGTTATTTAGATGGATTTTGATTATTTTATGGATTATTATTATTATTTGATGGATGGATTATTTTATGAATTACTCCACAATGACAACACATTGTTTCTATGCACCCATGCAAAACTGGGGTGGTTTGCTTGTAATCCTTAATGGGGTAATGAGAGGCATTTGTTTAATGCTTGATAATGAAATGGTAGTTCCACCTATCAGTATATACTAGTGGGGCATCAGAAAAGGGTGCTAGGTCAGGATAAAAATATGTCAATTAGCCCATCATGAGTAATTCATCTGGAATTATCCACAATGGTTTCCAGGAGGTCCGTGACGAGGAGAACTTTCAGGTTATATTGCTAGTGATGGAGATTAATGTCCCCAATACTAACTTTTTCTCTCCAAGTCAATAAGAAGCATTTATGGTAACTGTTGTAGTTGTGATGAACATAATACTCTATGTGACTTCATTTCTCTGAGTATATTGGATTTCCACATTGGTGGAGGATGATCCTTCTTCAATAACTTGGATTAAATAGTCCACTATAAAAGTGTTCCATAAAATTATATACTTTCTAAATGATCCAAATTAAATTTTTATTTTACTTTATCTGAAGATTTGTGCTTCAAACATTATTGTTATTTTATAATTGTCTACTCAGATGAGCTGCCATCAAAACGCAAGTACCAACAGCCAGCTGATCAATATGCAGTGGACTCGCATGGCCGGAGGAGGTTCCATGGAGCCTTTACTGGTGGCTTCTCAGCCGGCTTCGGTAACACAGTTGGCACACCAGAAGGCTGGACACCAGCTAGCTTTAAAAGCTCTCGTTCAGAGAAAGCTCAAATATCTGTTAGTATATTTTGCTTTGTTTACATATGGTTAACTAATTAACATTAATTACTATTACTGTTAAGAGTGTTCATAATGAAATATGGCAAAATTGCAATATTTTTAATTTTGAAAAACAATTGAAGAAATTAATTTGAATTTTTTATGTTTTTGATTTGTTGTTTAAAATTACTGTCTATGAAGTAAAACATTAATTATAGAATACATTTGCATGGCTGTGTTTTACTTTGAAGGTTGGGATATGGTAGTGAATTTACAGGGTACAGAGGAACAATACCTTAGTCCTCAGGAATGGCAATGCATGGAAAGTACCATGGACGAAACAGTATATTCTGTTACCTTCATGATACTACTTGTGTCTATAGGCGACGATTACCACTTTCCATCAGGTGGGCCGTCAGCTTGTTTGTCATTCTAAGTTGCATAAAATTTATTTCGCTAAGAGAGCATTTTTTAAATAATCGGAAATATTGTCAATTTTGATTTGTTTTTGAAAATTGACATATAATTGCGGCAAACACTTACTCAAGCTAAAGTCATGATTTTTTTATTATTATTATATCAACCGTTGATTGCCGTCCATTGCTGAATGCCTCCCCTATAAAGGGAAGGGGGTGGCTTGCCAGTATGCCATTCTTGGCAGGCGAGTTGGTAAGCACAGTTAGGCTTTGGTGATGTTTTAAGAAGGACACTTCTGCCCAAACCCTCGGCCTTTAAGTTCCTTTAATTGCCTCTTATGGCACCTACAGACAAAGAAGGGTTGGCCTATTCTATGCCGGGATCACACAGCAACAATTATGAATGCAATCACCTACCGGAAAGTAATAAGTATAAAATAACTAGATCATTGACTGACATGTTAATTTATCAATTTGTTACAGAGTCAAAAAGCGGAGGATTTTATGGATGATGAGGACCGGAGTGAGTTCGGTATAGCACCGCGACACATGCAGACGCAGCACGAGTTCTCAGGCCAGAAGAGGAAGATACAGCAACGGTACCATGATGGACCTATACCTGGTAACAACCTTTCACTTGTTTTATGATTTATTAAAAATTAGTCTATTTCATTATTTTTCCTACTTCTAAATTCTACGTGTACAAAGTAGCGGGTAAAAGCTAGTTTATTATATGGGTGCACCTGTCTATTAAAAGTTTGTATAATTGGTGCTTTCCTTATGATATAGATCTAAGTTATCTTGACTAATAGTTGAATATGCACTTATTATAATGAGGAGAGCAACACCATGTCCGTTAGCTCAAAAATATATTGCACCAGACAGACACCCTACATTATACACTTTTTATAAAAAAATTAATACAAATATCAACCTACGTATATTACTATAATGTTGCAAATTTGCGAATGAATTTATTTGTTACTCCTTGAGACCATAACTGCTTAATCAATTTAATGGAATTTGATAGACATATAGCATTTGGAATGGAGAAGAACAGAGGCTTCTTATCTCGGCCAATTAACATTACCCAGTCATTTAGATGGTGTCGTGGGTAAAACAGGTAATACATCATTTACTGCTTTTACTTGCGCTTTCGTCACCACGCGGGGCGGTATAAAAAATAGCTTGTCTTCTTCTTCCCTTATAGTATATCAAAATCAAATTTCATAGTGATTGGTTAAGGTGATAACAGGTACCAAGGAAACTCACTTTTATAGTAAGGATACTAGTTAACTAGTAAACGGTTTTTTTTTTCGCGCTTCCGCCATCTATGGGGTCCATTTTTTCTTGTCACAGATTACGAAGTTTAATTAAAATCGTTTGAGTAGTTACAGAGATTGGCTTGAATAAACATCTGAACTGGATTTCTGTATATTAAGATTGCTTAGAATGGGCCACCCCTTTCTGTCCCGTGAGTGCTGTAAGAGTAACTTAATGGTCGAGGGATGGACAGCAGCGTTTCTCTTAGAACATCACCAAAAGCCAAATTGTGTTTGTCAACCCGCCTACTCTGCGTGGTAACTACTGGCATAATCCCCATAATGGGGGAGCCCTATGTCCAACAGTGGACAGTTAACGGCTGAATATGAATGGATGAATGAAAATCGTATTCACCAGGGGAACCAGTGCTAGAGCAGCTGGTGAAAGCGGTGCACGAGACTGCAGCGGTGCGTATGCTGCGCGCGATGGGCTGGCGGCCCGGCCAGGGCGCCGGCGACCGCGTCTCCCGCGCCGACAAGGTGCGAGCCAAGCGACAGCACAAGGTCTACGGCTGTTACATGCCGCAGGAAATGAGGCCGGTAGGTAAGAATGGCTAATATTGTAATTCAACAGAGTCTTAAAAAGATAAAAAAATATTTTTATAATAATATGTTTCATAGTAAAGAACTAAAGTAACCGACACAGACCTAAAAAGGATAAGCAAGCTGAATTGGTAATAATAAATAAATAATAAATAAATAATAAATAAATAATAAATAAATATACAGTCAAATCACACAGATTGAGCTAGCCCCAAAGTAAGTTCGAGACTTGTGTTATGGGATACTAACTCAACGATACTATATTTATAATAGATACATATATAGATAAACATCCAAGACCCAGGCCAATCAGGAAAAGATCGTTTTCCATCATGACCTGGCCGGGGATCGAACCCGGGGTCTCCTCGTCGCAGGCAGGCGTGTTGACCGCTGCGCCACGGAGGACGACAATGTAATGTGGACGGTAATGTGGTCACATAGCTCAAAAAATCAATAACCGATGGGGAAGAAAGGTTCTTGAGTGGCGACCCCGTATGATTTTTTTATTTATTTTCTAAAACAATTGAAGAACTTTCAATATTTGTGAATTAATCATAGAAGTTGAATAAAGCTGTACGTTTGTTTGTCACTTTTGTGGTATGATAAAAGGAATAACCCCTTTATTTATAAAAATGACAAATCTCGCATAAACCTATTTTTGCTATTGAACTCTTTTATCTCTTTTGTGCTAAATTTTCAGTTTGAATGAACGTGACAAAACAGTGTAACAGTTAATTAAAATAGGTATAGGAAGTTTTAGTTTTCATGAATATGGGGGTTCTTACTGCCAAAATATCAAACCAGTTAGGTTTCATTTACGTGTATTTTGTTGACTAGTATCGGTACCATTAATCTTGAATGTCCACAATGGTCCAGTCATTCGAATGGACCCAAAATAAATTTAAAGTGTACTTAGAAAATGTTTAATAATAAAAAAGTATAACTATGTATATGAATCTACCACTTGATCTTTTTCGATTATTTTCGAAAACTAATTAACATGACGCATAAATCTCTTGAATGAATGAATGAATGCAATATAATATTATTTCTATTTCATTTTATCTTACTCTTTACAGAATCAAGAACCTGCATCAGACAATGACAGTTCAGATTCGGAATTCGACTATGAAACGCTGTTTGCGCCAGACGATTATGAACCTTATGTGTTAAGTCATAAGAATGATAAATTTGGATTGGGATACTCTGGCCTCAGCCGACATTCCGTATTGGGAAACTTGATGGGCGAGTATGGGAGTGATGCGAGCACTTCTAAAAGTCATCTCATCATGAAAGAGAAAGGAAAGAAGGTAATGATTTGTATTTTTATTTTTGCCTTTTTTATTTTTTCTACGCCTGCGATCAGCTTTTAAATGTTCTTAATTCGAACACCATTACATAAACCAAGTGATGTGACCCATAGGATTTTTTAGTGACAATTCCTATATAAATTTTTATCTCCTATCTAAAAAATCCTTAGGGAATGTTTTTTAAAAATATTTTTTTAGATATTATAAGGAATTTCTGTGTAAAGTTTAATTTTTCAAGACCGGCAATTGGGCTTTATTTTTTATGCAACTTAGCATGGCAAACAAGCTGACAGCATTGATGGGAAGCGGCGACCATCGCTTATAGATGTGAATTGTACCATGGACTTCACAGAGTATGTATACTGCGACTCCCATAATACCCTTTAAGCATGGCCATTCCTGAGGACTAAGCTGTTAGGCCTCTGTATCTAGTGTTCTCTCTGTGACAATGGTCTATGTCAAAAGGACAGTTTTATAAACTAAATTTCGTATACAGGTATCAATTCGCGGCCAAGCATTCGGCGTGGGTGCATTTGAAGCCGACGATGAGGATATATACGCGACAGAGGACATGTCTCATTATGACTTCACGCTAGGTGGCGCCACAGAAGATAAACAGAAGAAAAAAGTCAAGGAGAAGGGTGTCAATGTAAGTATATTAATTTAAATTGTGTATCCATATAAATAAATCGCATATGTTTGATAATTTTTTTTATGCAACTTAAAATGGTAAACAAGCTGATGGCCCATCTGATGGAAAGTGGTAACCGTCGCCTATAGACATGAGCAGTACCATGGACATAACAGAGTATACTGATTCGCCCATGATATCCCTATGCGTTGCCATTCCTAAAAACTCAGGTGTTATTCCTCTGTACTCAGTAAATTCACGCCATATCCCATCCTTCAAACCAAAACACAGCCATACAAACACAGCTGCTTTACGGTTGAAACACGAATGGGACAGAGGTACCCAAGCAATTGACTTTTGTACAAAGTCTCCCTCTGGTAAATCTGGTAAATTTAGTAATCTTCACACGTCATTTCTGCAATCATCGCAGGGTCGTAGAGACCCAAGTTAAAGGTAGGGCAAAAGAACTATTTGGTAGCGCAGATGCCAAGAGATTAAGTAACTTCGAAAAAGCGAATCTGTCATTTTTTTTGGGGCCTTTCATTATAAGGTAGGGCATTGCCTAACAATAACAAATTTAAATTGTGTTATTAGAAAGGGTACAGTTTGTTGGCACTCACTATACATTCTATCAGGTTCTAGAAGGTTTCGTGAAGGCCAGCAAGCCACTACCCCAAGTCCCGTTCTACCCACCGCCAGCTTTGCCCAAGGACTATAAGCCCGCTGCGGCCGGAGCCAGAAGGTCGAGGTTTGAGCCCACTGACCAACCACAAAGAGATCAAGGTACAGTTAGAAATGTTTTTATTTTCGCAGTTGTTTTTATAGCGTACATATTTTTTCGGTACGCTCGAAACACTAATCGTTGTAAAAGTCTGTTAATTATATATCCTAAAATATAGTTAGAAAACGTTTACTTCCTTACTGGGATAAACCTTACCGCTGCAGATATAACCTGGTAAAATGAGGTGTTATGGTCTCGGGAGGCCTGCGACTGTGGAGCGCAATTTCAGACTCTCCTGTCGTTTGTGTTCTTCATCTTACATAAAAGAGGACCTGAATAAGGCAACCAACTGTGCTGTGGAAGTTGCTAAGTTCTAGTCTAAATATATTTAGGTTGTCCATTGACTTGAAAGAAGAAGAATTTGTATAAAAAGTAGCTTATACTTTTAACAAAACAGTTAATGTATGTCAAATTTCATAACGATCGATTTAGACTGTAAATTGTCCAAAACTTATAAACAAACTCAATTTCGTATTTATAATATTAGTAATGATTATGTATGTGTCACTAGTTCGTAAATTATGGTCACTCCTTGTCCCCTTATTTTTTATTAAAAATCATCCTATAATGATATATACCGTTCTACTAGATGGCGTTTTATATAAAAATATAAGCGTGATACGATAAGTACGACCAAATTTCAATAAGTAGAGTTTATAATATGCCTGTTTTCAGGTCTAGGCCGTCACGAGCTCACAGCGGACGCTCGAGGCGCTTTATTGGGCGAAACTCCAGTGCCTAAAGTCACAGATACAAACACACAGACAAACATACCATCCACGGAGGACCCCATAGCCAAACTAGTGGGCCGAAACGTCAACTTCACATCAAACCAGGAAGAAAAAAGTGAACTAGACTTTATATCGATAAAAGACAGTGAAAAAGAAATAACCAAAGTGTTTAGACCGTTTATGAACAATCCGAAGAAACAAGCGAGATACGAATTGTATCTGAAAGATAGGGACAGTTATATGAAGGAAGGAGATGGGGAAATGGACAGGTTGAGTGAGTGGGAGAGGAATAGAGAGATAGTGGAGTTCGAACAGGCGGCTAAGTTGTATAAACCGTTGACGGGTATTATGAGTGATAGGTGAGTATAATTAAAAAAAAAATACTAATTATTTTAACTTTATCCCGCAGTGTTGCTTGCAGCGTTGCTCGTGATAGTTAGGATAAACTTTGTAAAAAATTTCATTTCATTTCATTTCATATTGATAAAAAATACAGAGACAACATTTTAGTTGTCCAGAATGATAGTCCACTTGATGGGTAGTGGTAATCATTGGTTATGGATATAAACTTTGATTGTGACACCCATGGTTTTATTAAATATTCTTGTAAGTGCAATGGTCTCAATCTGTCATGTTCACCAAGGGCATGTATTTGTTAATAAATAAATATTATAAATCAATTGTACAGATTCACCCACGCATCAGAGCCGGACGAAGCGCTCAATCCTCTATGTGCTGTCGCCAAAAGTTCCACCAATTATGGGCTAGCCACCCCGGAGCAGATTGACGCAGCCAAACGCGGCGTGTACGGCGTGATGACACGACGAGAGTCGCCGTGGCGGCCGGAGTCGCTGGTGTGCAAGCGATTTAATATACCAGAGCCTGGGGGAGTCAGGTGAGACACTATAAATTTTAGACATTGAGGCCCTGGGCAGCCCTTGACCACTTTTCCGGTTGGTACTGGAATATAAGTGTCTCGCTTCTGTATACTTTTTTCGAAATACGGCAATACCATGAAAACAAACAAATTTACATAGATTATTGATTAGCAAATATTGATAAGCTTAGATATAAATTTATTAATTATTACTAAATTCTCTGTAATGTCGGAATTACCTGCACATTTTCATTATACTTATATTAAGACTCTTATTCATAATTAGCTGTATTTTAAACTATCATGTTTTAATTTAATCTTTTCATTTTTGTTTCAGACCAGAATCAAAGAAAGAAGATAAACCAAAAGTGTCATACTCAGTGTTTTCCTATCTCGAGTCATCAGTTCACGATAGAGACAGTTTTGCTAAAGAGCAGAGCAAGTTCAGTGGCTCAAAGTCATTAATAAATACACCAAATACTAGTAAAGAACAAAATAAAACATTAAATGATACTGAAAACGTTAAAAGAGATGATAATAAATTAGAAAATAATACAACTAGTCAAATCAATACAGGTTTTAGCAAAAGACTGACAGTAGCTGAATTGTTTCTAAAGGAATCGGAGAAAGATATGAAAAACAAAGAACAAGGTGTCGAAGTAACTGAAACTATAGACAAATTCGACAAAATGGATCTTTATAAGTCTATATTTTTAAGTGATAGTGAAGATGAGGGTCTGCCGAAAAATGAAGAGAGTAATGATGATAAAGATGCTAATGAATTCGTAGATGTGCCTAAAAATATCGAGAGGAACACATCGCCGCCGAGAGGTATTTTCGCGAACATTGATTTCGACGAATTGAATTCTTGGAAAAGGAATGTTGATAATAAGCAAACAAATAATGAAAAAGAAGCTACTAGTAGTGCTAATGTAGAGAAGAATGACAAAGAAGCTGGTGCAGAAGATAAAATAGAAATTATTGAAACTTATGGACCTAAAATACCGGATAATTTAATGAAAAGGTTAGAAGGAGAGAGTAAAAGTAGTATAGGAGGTAGTAATTTAAAACCGGTTTTTAGAAGTCAAAGTGAGAGGGATAAAGAGATACTTGAAGGTGATTCTTCGTCAAGCGCCGACTCGTGGGTAGACGTAAAAGAAATTAAATCGAAAAAGGAAAAAAAGAAAAAGAGCAAAAAACATAAATCTAAACATAAAAAATCAAAACACAAAAAGAAAAGTCGATGATATTCTATTGTTATTATGTATCAACCTAATACCTAATTATATTATTCTTACACAATTGTCTTTAGCGTTTTATTCTTATATCTAATTTGTATAATCATATTACTTATCTCTATTTCATCCATATACTTAAAGTATTTATACATGCGAATTGATGATTATTATCATAGATACCTACTTATTAAAGAAAATACTCTTAGAAATACCATACTAGTAAGGACTGTAGGACTAGAAGGTAGTCGGATGCTTTATAAATATCCTCTTTTCAAAAATGCTCAGAAACTGCGTCAATCTTCTGCTTAATTAAAAGGTATAATACGAATTAATAAACGTCAATACATTCCACACATCTGTTTCAGTTCAAAGTACTTTGGCGTTTTTGCGTAAAATACGAAATCTATTTGTAAATAAATACTCTTACACAATGCTTACGTAGCATAATGTGTGGGTGTACCATACCAAGGTCACTTAGATATGGCGGGAAACGGAGCGAAAGCAACGTCCTGTCTGCAACAATAGCTAAGCATTTACAAAGAAACAAAAACATGATGTAATCATAGCATACATCATTAATATTTTAGTTCTAGAACATTATTTCGATCTATCACTATGTAGATATTGTAGACTAGCTGTCTGCAATATTCGATTCATGGACAAATGTACCATGAATCATTATATACGGTGGGATCAAGGCTCAATCAAATTACATAATACATTTCTGTTTTTAAAATGTAATAAATTTATCATTTTCTTAATAAAGAAGTAATGTATAGCGTACATCAAGGTAAATTAAATATCGCAAGCATAGATAGGTACTATAGCAGTAAGCATCAATAACAAGTTCAAAAGAAAGAGATGAATTTATACAAAAACTATATACAAGACAAAGATGAAATAGAACTGTTGATGAGAAAGAGATAGATAATACAAAGAAGTATTGAAATGAAAGAGATGTATATAAAACAATAACGACAACATGATTTTGCCGTCACGGTTGGTACGCATGCGTCATTGCGCTCCGCCAGGGTCTCAATAAGGGGTATTTTTTAATGGGCGAAGAAATGATAACCCCACCTGCGCATCGGTATACGCTGGCGGGGCACCAGTGAGAGATGATAGGTGAAGATGAAAGCAGGTTAGTTGGCCCATCGTGACTAATAAATCAGTAATTAAGCACGATGGTTTCCAGGGAGAACTGTGTGGGGGTCGATTTGTAAGGTAATGGAGCCGTTAGACCCCACTACTAACAATTCCCTTTCCTCCAATAAAAGGGATTATGTATAATTGGAAAATTATTTCGTAACATTAATTATGTGTTTATAATGTAGCGTGTACAAATTATTTTTATTTATTTATTTACTTACATAATAATATTACATCTCGGTTCACTTTTTTTTTAACACAAGGGGCAAACGAACATGCGGCTCATCTGAACTTATAATCTATCTACATAATTAGACGCAAATAAATAATACATACATATTTATATATGAATATACATATATAAACTTATATGAAAACAAATTTACTAATATATTGTATTGGGGGGAAAGGAATTGTTAGTAATGTAGAAGTTAGTCCCCATCGCTATCAATATACCTTATCAGATCGACCTCCACGCGGTTCCCCCTGGAAACCATCGTGACTAATTTATCATTGAATTCGTCACGATGGGCTAACTGACCTGCCTTTTCATCTTCACTAATCATCTCTCACTGCTGCCCAGCTAGTGGCACCGGCGGGGATATCATTCCATTATCATCCATCATAAAAAAAAACATTGTATTGAATATTTACATTTTCTAAACGAATGTTTTGCATATTAATAATGTGATAAAGAAAATAGGTCCTTTTTATTTATCAGTCATCAGGTTAAAGTACTTATAAATACAAATTTGGCATGTTATAAAATAATACCATGAACAAATAATAAATTGTACTTCTTAATAAAACGCAAGGAATTATCTATGCTACTTACGCCGACCCTGTTATAATACAATCAGCTGTTTGTAATGACAGTTCCTCTGACAAATACAAAATGGTTGAAAACTAAAGTTGGCAAACAAAGAAAGGCAGCGTAATATCGAGTATTAGCGTTTAAAGACATTTTTTTAAGTGAAAGTTAGTTAGTTTAGTGTATAAATTGTGTTTGGTGCACGATGCTAGATTTGGAAATTGTCCCTGAGCGCTCCCTGGGCTGTGACGCCTGGGAATTTGTGTTGGGTGAGTTTATTGTGTTTATTTCGTACGTCAGGCATTTGCGTTGTATTTCCACAAGACGTTTATTACGCAATGTTGTTTTTATTGCCTGTATCCGACCCTACATCTATCTGGTAGAATGCCATAGCCACAAATCGCTCGTTGTATCCACCTCCCATTGATTTTTTTCTATGCAAAGTGTCACGGGCAATGCCTTTGTTTCATCTCTGAGTTCGATGTTTATTTTTTTTTAATGCCACTCTTGACCGTGAAATGGCATAGGTTGCGCTAATAACATGATCATTTCGTAAGATTCCGCTTGTTGTTCTCAATTCAGGTGACTGAACCATATGATATTGTTAAAAAAAAACAAATAGATATAGATTGAAAACAAATCATAGAGTAAACATAAACAGATGAGACTAAGTGTATAGTGTTTTTCTTAATTAAATTTTAATTATTTATTTTTATTATGTGACCTTAAAATACCTATTGTTTTTTTAATGGGTGATAGAAAAGTAAAAAATGACTATTATGCTATAATGCTTAAATATTAGTTTATTTGAATAAAAATTATTCTTATTCATAGTTACAGCTCATTTTCAGCATGTACTCCCAAGACATAATATAAGCTTTGATTGTCCACTGCATTTGTTATGATTTTTAAATAAATCTTATTCACTTTATTATTTTTTAATACCTACCCATACATTGTATTTATCTCATGATATATATATTAGATTAAGAGGCCATATATATATATATACACACACACACACACATATATATATATATATATATATATATATATGCTTTGTCAGTGGCATTGTTTTAATAAATACAAAAATCCAGAAAAACCTTATAAACAAAGATTGAAAATCAAGAAAGGCTCGATAATAAATCAAACTTTGTAAAACATTTGTATCATTAGATACCTCTGTTCTTCTTGTGTTTGTGACGACTCCTGTGTTTAGGAAGACTGCTTCTTGGTGGCATAAACATGATTCTTACTCTCTACTAACTCGTCTATGAATGAACATTCTTCAAATTAAAATGTTGCCATGCAAGCACTGTATTTCGGTTTGAAGCATAGAATGTCACAGAGGAATTTTAGAGTACAAAACCATTATGAAGTCCTCAGGAATAGTAAGCATGAGGCATTACATTATAGGCATTCTCTGATACATATATGACTGACACAGCTATAATATATGGTAACAACTTTCCATCAGGTCGGTAAAAAAAGGAATTGTTAGGAATGGGGTTTAACAGCCCTATAGACATCAAAACATCCTACCTATAGGTCAACCTCTAAGCGAAGGTCCAAGCCCTTGGAAACCATCATGGTTAATTCTTGTGCAGTTTGTCATAATGGGCTAACTGACCTGCCTTTATCCTCACTTATCATTTGCCATTAATGCCTTGCTAGCATATACAAATAGTGGAGTTATATTCCATTTTCACTCATTAAAAATAACTATTCCTCATGTGTAACATCAGTTTATTTTTCATTTACAGTAGTATAAAAAAAGTTAACAATTTAAAAAGAAAGAATTTCTCAAGTCAACTATATTTTTGTGTATTTATCATATCTTGATATTTATATCACAATATCTTTGTCAATTCTGTATTCTTAATCTAAATTCTTTCATATTAGTTCCCTACAAATTTTGTTTATTTTATTAAGATTGAAGTTGGTTCTTTTGTGGAATAAAATCTTAATTTTTTTTTTATATACAACTTAGAATGGCAAACAAGCTGACGGCCCACCTGATGGAAAGTGGTAACCGTCGCCTATAGACATGAGCAGTACCATGGACATAACAGAGTATACTGTTTCGCCCATGATACCCCCATTCGTTGCCATTCCTGAGGACTCAGGTGTTATTCCTCTGTACCCTGTAAATTCACGCCATATCCCACCCTTCAAACCGAAACACAGCCATGCAAACTCAACTGCTTCACGGTTGAAACACGAATGGGACAGAGGCACCCAAGCAATCGACTTTTGTACAAAGTCTCCCTCTGGTAAATAAAAATGATAAAATTTTCCATGTATTGACTGTTATATTCACCATAGTGACAGTTGAGAAATGTGTCTGAATACCTTATTAGGGGTTATAGTTGTGAGCATATAAGGATTATTTAATGTTAACAATGATGTTTTAGTTTCGTGTGATATTGGTTTATTTTCTATGTTGTGTATGATAATGGAATGATGTTAATAACAATGATAGATGATAGATGAGGATTAGTTTCATGATGACTTATCTGACCGCCTGTTACCAATATTTAATGGAAATGATATACTAACAATCCCTTCTCCCCCATCTATGTCTGCTTTGAAGCATCAATATATGCTTTGTTGTCAACCTGAATTAACAGTGCAATCTCTCATGTAACAGGTCTCATGTTTTCATAAATATTTGCATTTATATTTATTGTATGTATGTATATCTTAACACTTGTTAATAAAATCAACATGTTTTCTTCCTGTGACATTGGTATATTAAACATTGTAAATATTTTCAACACTGTAAAGTGTTCTCGTAAAATGGTTATATTTCTTTTATTTAGTTATAGATAAAGGTATGGGGTTCTGTTATAGTGTAAATACTTCTTGGTAGTTAGTTTTTTTTTTGTTGTACCTGTCTGTTACTGAATTGTCACCTTAATAAAATTATCTTGCTACTAAAAACATCACTTGATTCCTATTATTTATTGTTCTCTGATATTTAGCACAAACTGTATATATAAAAGGTTATGGGCACCAGGATATAAGTTACTGGATTGCTGAAAAACTACTAAGTAATGAAATACTGGAAATAAAAAATAAGTCATGCCAAATGTTACAATAATTACTCAACAATAAATATTGTATGTAATGAAGAAGACAATTGTTTGGTTTCTCAAATAAAAATAAGTAAATATGGGGGAATGTATTAGGAGTGTAATTAATGTTACAGCCAGTCTATTTTCTATATTTAGACATTGCAAAAAATATACTATGAGATACTAATGAATCACTAAATCTTCAGTGATGTTTTTTTTAAATTTTATAATACCCCATGTTACTTGCTGATAATGCAGCTTTTAATAGGTAAAAGAAAACTTGTCTACTACAAACAAAGAATCAAATCTTTCCTATTCTTGTTATAAATTAGTTTAGGTTATGATTTTACACAGATGAAGTTGTAAAAATAGCTTATTCAAGGTTACTACAGGTAAATGAAACTTTAATTGCAAATAACAAAATTCCCTTTTGTATTGGTTGCATATACAGACAGACATACATACTGCATATATCTCTATTTATATTAAAACTAAGTATGTCATTACAGTTTATATATTTAGTGTTTTTTTTTTTGTATATGCATTCTTTTATATTTTTTTAGTGTGTATGTCTTAAATAATTAAAAAAAAATATCCATCTATCTATTTCTATATGATGTTACAGAAGCTATTTAATGATAGCACTCTCTTTATAGTAAACTCTTGAGATAATGTCTCTTAGTGTTTTTGTTAATTTTCTAAATATTTTCAATATACCTATATTTTGTGTTTCCTACACTCCATTGGATGGAACTTTGTCTTGAGTCCATCTCATTCTTTTTCCATCCAATTCATTTTGCATCCAATTTATTAATAAAATTTGGCACATAAAATATATGCATTTGGAATATCTATTTCGGTTCATATCTATGGTCAAATATTTGTTCATGTGAATTGTATGTTACATCCTTACTAATTATACATGTAAAAATGAATTTGTTTGTTTGTATGTTACCTGTTAAGACCTTAATGGCTTAACCAATGACTGAAATTTGGTATATACATATTATATAGTATGGAGAACGTTATAGGGTACTTTTTGTCCCAGTCTGTAATTATATATATAAAAAAAAAGTAAAGTAAAAGCTAGTTTCTATAATCTATTTTTTATACAGGACATTATGTTGTAAATATTTTTTTTTATTAGAATGTGTTGATCAATTAATATATTGATTAAAATTAATTAATTGTACATATAAAAAATGTTATGTAAATAAAAAGTAATATTCCAATTTTGTGGTCGATTGTGAGGCGCTATTTTTCTAAACCTATTTTCAAAATTAAATTTCAATTCACAAAATCTTTATTTTAAGGACCAACATGAACTAATTTTCTAATAGATTTGTGAGTCAACATTATTGTTATTTATTAATTAATTATCTTCTATTATTGTTATTTATTTATTTATTAAATACCAAAGAGAGACTTTGTACAAAAATCGATTGCTTAGGTATCTTTGTCCCATTAGTGTTTCAACCGTGAAGCAGTTGTGTTTGCATGGCTGTGTTTCGGTTTGAATTGTGGGATATGGCGTGAATTTACTAGGTACAGAGGAATAACACCTGAGTCCTCAGGAATGGCAACGCATGGGGGGTATCATGGGCGAAACAGTATACTCTGTTATGTCCATAGTACTGCTCATGTCTATAGGCGACGGTTACCACTTTACATCAGGTGGGCCGTCCGCTTGTTTGCCATTCTAAGTTGTATAAAAAAAAATTAAACATGAGTACATTGAACCCCGCACTAGGCGGACTTGTATCACGGGAGTTCATAAGGGATTACTAAGGCACAGTGTTTTACAAATATAGATAATTAATATTAGTCTATGGTGGTGAAATTATCAAATTAAAATATTAGGTTAAGAGTTTAATTTAGAGAAATGGCACATTAAAATCGGTCCCATTGTACGTTTGAAAAATTTCGAATAGAATTCTATTTTGTTTCACACAATAACATACTGTTTTGAATCCGCACCTTCTACGCCATGCCGGGGTCATTGCTCTTATCAGTCACACTCGATACTTATACTGACATATAATATTTATTATTCCAATAATATTTCTATTTTTTATTATATCAGCTATTAATTGTTCGCTGCAGAAAATAAGTCCTCGCCATAAGGCAAATTTTGCCAGTAGTTGCCACGCTTGGCAAGTGTGTTAGCAACCGCAATAATGCTTTGGTAATGT